CCGGGATTTTTCAAAACCAGTAATAGTTCTCCGACCTCCACTTGTTTTTTCCATAGCTTTGTAAGCATATAATTCCTCGTAAAAGTCCTTTCTTGCTTAAATGCCTACAGTGGTTTCTGATTTCCTAAGCAAAACTTAGCTAACATACAGTGTCAGATTTTCAATGAATTTCAGGGAGAAATTTACCTACTTATGTCTGAAGAAATCAACTCACCAAAGGATGGCAGTAGCTTTTCATAAATTTTTAAAGAAGCCATTTGTGACTAAGAAAAACACGATTCTACGTAGTTCTTTTTTTTTTTTGTCTTCTCTTTTGTTTCATGTGTATATAATGCTCAATATCTCCACTCATGGGAATCATTAACCAACCTCTCACCCCCATATTTGGGTACGCAAAAATGAAACAGTCCATCGACAAAAAATCTGGAACAAAAATAAATCAATTGCATCTCAGGTGGAGATGTTTAAAAAATGTTTAAAAACAAGCGAATGACCACGCATAGCTTAAACTAATTAAATTGAATTACTTTCAAAGTATAATACTTGATCAATAAGCCTTTTATGAAATTCTGCGAATGAAGAGTATCATGTTCATTTAGTAGCCTCCTTCCTCTTTCCTTATGTTCTATAGAATCCACCAGTGCCTGTATTTGGAGCCAGCCACGAGGATGTCACCAAGAAGCGATGACAGGTAGGAAGCCCCTTCCTTATGCTTACGGTGCAGAAAGAAGTTGTCAATTTCTGTAGATGTAGCCTTTTACCATAAAAAAAAAGTCATAGAAATGGGACCCCATATAAATGTGACGTAAGACTCACAAGTCTCAAGCTAAAAGACTTGTCAAGCACATGTGAAGTCAATTACAGGCAAAAAAAGGAATTTAGCATACCCTCGACCCTTTGGGGGGGATTGTCAACACAAACTATACTCATTTACGAAATAAGAGAACAAACCAGAAATTGGCGAAGGTTTGCTAAAAAAAAAAAAAAAAAGTAAGAATTTTCTGAGATACCAGAACTAAGTTACACACAGTTTCATTACATTTTTTTTCCATGACCCTAACACTCAAGCCAACGTGAAATTTAGGTGCTTGCAGCGCTATTACTTTCTGGTTATTGCTAATATATTTGAAACACTTATTTAAACTGAATCTATTTACATGCAGTAATTCTATTACAGTTTTATTGTAGTGAATGGAAATTTGAAAATAAAAGAAGCCTAATATACACTGGAAATTTACTGGCAAAATAATTTTATAATTGTATATACATGAATATGAATATATATCATTTTTTTTCAATAAAATTTGGCAGAAATATAGATTGAGAAGAAAAATAAGTATTTCTTATGAGCTTTTAAAGTTCTTAACATGAATTTCATGCTGAGAAAGTTTTGCCTCTAAAATACTTTAGAGTTGCTTTATGAAGATTAAGAAAAACCTGTCTTGGGAAGCAAGAAAGAGAATATATTTTCCTCAATCAGGTGTACCACCAGTTTAATAAATGTTTGTTTTAGGCTACTTACTGTGTTTTTGTTTTATTTCCTTGTGAACTTATTTTATTTTAGGATTTCAGGTTGGGTAATATTCATAGTAATTTCCAAGTATAACTCTAGCTGCTAAACAGTCTCTCTAAAGCTAAAGAGTTATCTCTAAAGGGCTAGGGAGGATCACCTGAATACTCATTAGAATGGTGCAATAATTTTGCTGTTCATGAAAGAGAGAAATGCTTTATCTATTGAAGGCAGTGATACAGAACAAACAGGCCTCTTTTGTGTAGAAGACAGACTCAAATCCTCGGTCTATTGGTTACTAGCTCAGGCAAGCTACTTAACCTGTCTGAGCCCTTTGGTCATTTGTTAAAAGATAAAAATGCATAACTGACAGGATATATTAAGATAAACCAGAATGATATATGTAAGAGCCAAGTGCAAACACAAACAATAAGCTTTAGGCCTAGATAAAATGTTAGTATCTTATTCCTAACTCATATGTTTCTTCTCCACCACCTTTGAGATCTCCATTCACTCCCGGAGATGCCTCATGGATTGGCCTGTATTTCAAGCACTCAGTGTTAATCCTTGCCTTGCTTCTATAACTCTCACTGAAAATGAACTATTTCTATAGCTCACCACACCTCAGGGAACTCATCTGTGCTTCTAAGGTATCAACTACCAATCTGCCAAACTAAAATTTGCCAAAAGGCTGGTAAGAAAGAATCAGAAGTAGTCTTCCCCCCTCCCCCCCACAGGTGGATCAGTGATTCTCTGGGGAAAAAAAAAAAAGTCCTGTTTTTGTTTTATGATTTATGGGTGCTTTTCATAGAAAGGCTTTGGGATCAAACCAAAGAGAGTATTTTGGGGTAGATATTGCTTCACTGAACCTCTTGAATCATGCAGTGTGCATGCACGGGCAACAATGAGTGAATCCTGTTTTCTTCACTTCGTCACCATTATACCTCCCTTGACTGGGACCAGTGAAAGCATAATGATGAAAAGAACTTGTATTTCTTAAGGAAAACTAAGGCGGGCCTTAGCATGATTTACGCTTGCTGACAGAGACACAAAGAGTGGAAATAAATGATTTGTGTCATATCCCAGGAGAATCATTATACAAATTTGTATCACATTAACATAATAGTTATTCACTTTTATTTATCTACCACTTACTATGTGTCTGACACACTTCCGTTTTAAAAACATGAATTATTATACTCATAAACTATTATTAATGGGTATTTGTTCATCATTTATATTTCAAAGGATATCCTAATTAAAAAAATATATTATCTACATTTAGTCCTTAGAATAGCACAGAGATGTAGACAATATCTTCTTTTTACAGATGTGGAAACTGAGGTTCAGAGAAATTAAGCAACCTTCACAATACCAATATCACATTGTAAGTGGCAGTACCCAGAATTAAAGCAGGCTATATTTGGCTCTACGGCCAAGGCTTTTAATGTCTTCTACACTGCCTCTTACTGAGACCCTCCTAATTGAGGACAGTAATGCAAAAGTAAAGGAAATCATTTCAAAAGTCTACCACAATGCAAATAAAAGTTGATTGTGGCATTGCAGTCTTAAAAATGACATGGTAAAGACATTATCACAGTTTACAAAAATGAAATAGGCATTATTTTAAAAGCATAGAATAAACTGTAGGGCAGGATTGTCTTAGACTCCCTCTTTTTTTTTTTTGCAGTTATTATTTTCTTATAGTTCTTTTTAAAAAGTGGTTTGTTTGACATGAGTTATTATTATGATATCATATCCTACCTCACGACTTTTCAAATTAATTTACCATTTTTTAGCAATATGTTTAATGAACTTAGTTTTGTTCTTGTCAAAAATATTACTGAAATTTTATCAGTTCATAATTTACTAGAGCATGAATAAAGCAAATTTTAGAAGTCCTGCTTAGTTTTTACTAATTCTCTCTCTCCTCCATCATCCCCCTTCCTCCCTTCCTCCCTATAACCCCAAAGCTACATTATACATAAATTTTCAAACATTGACAATACTCTGCTTTCACTGAGAAATATGAAAAGGGCATGTATAGTGCTTCAGTGGGAACAATCCATTAATTATAAAATGCTATTTCAACTACACATGTGAGAAGTAAAATTACATGAGCAAGACTGAGGGAATAATTGTGCATTCAATTATTTGTTATTGTTCCTTAAGAACCTAAATGACTTATCCTGTTTTATCGATATAGTGACAATAAGTCATAACTGTATAGCACTTTACAGCCATTACTTCACCTGATAAACAACTAAGTTGCTACAGAAGAGTAAAACATACACCTTGGAGAAAGTGAAATTTAATGGAAAGACAGGTTTTGGAGTCAAATGTGAATTTCAACTCCTGTTTTATATCTTACAATCTGGGTGATGACCCTGTGAAAGCCATGGATATCTCTGAACCACATATGTAATATGATGACTAGAAAAACCTATCACAAGATTTTTATAATGATTAAATAAAACGATAATGCATAGCGTCCGACACACACATGTGCTCCTGTGGGTCCTTTTCTCCTTCCACTTTCCCACTTTGAAGAATCGAGCTCCACAGGCGTTTTTGCATGCTTAACTTTAACGTCGTCTTGCCACACTCAAAACACCTATTTTTATGCTATTCACCATTGTTCGGTTTGTCAGAACGATGTGGGGTCATAAAACCAAAGCAAAGGATGTAGCCACTGAAAAAATTTCCTTTCTAAAAGGGGATTTAATTATTACCAAGGTTGTTTGTTTTAATGCAGCAACATCACTGCATCAGACAAAAAGTTTAGGAGACCACAAAAAAGACAAATCCTTTAGAATGGTTCAAATTATGAACAGGAAACAAGCAGGTACAACCTGAAACTTGTTCTTTTGGGGAAAAAAGAACCTAGCTCAGTTTTGGAACAATAAAATTTAATGAAAGAAGACTAACAGTGGCAGAAAGGAAATTGTACAAGTAATTGAACATGTTTTTAGAAACAGATGTTATTTTGAGCTATGTTTAGAGAGGTGTTGTGCCAAAAATCAAATCTGAGAATAATTTCATTTGACTAGGACACTAATAAAATGCACCCCAATTAAAAATATTACAAATCGAATATGAGAGGCTCAAAGGAATCTTCATGATCATGAGGATGTCAAATTCCCTAATGTTTCAGAGGTGGGAATTAGAAACCCGGGAGGATGGATGAGCGAGGGCCAGGACCCACATTGGGTTAGGGGGAAATGTGGGAACCATTTAAAAATCATCTTATTTTCAAGTCCTGTCTTTCCACTATTAACAATAATGTATCTGACCCTGATGTTAACTGAGGGTCACTCTGTCATATATGTCCTGTGTATAATCTCCCCATTTCTGCTCAGTTCAACCGGGACAAGGAACTTAGTCCTTCCATCAGTTTCTACAGGAAATCCGATCACAGCCGGAATTTCATGATTTGTATGAAATCTGCTGGAAGTTCAGGAGTCACAGGCAGAAGAGTTGTGGAGGTGCCATCGTAAGGCCCTTGGCACTGACACAGGAAATCGGTTCCTGAGTTAAAGAATGATTAGATAGAGAGCTCTGGAGAGATCGAGATTTATCTCCCTAGAGCTCCGTATTTATACTTCCAAGGAGGTGAAATGCCTGAGCTATTTTGTTTATTTTACAAAGGACTAAAAAACTCAGGAACCTTTCTGAGGGGATTCATTTATACAAGGGAAAAAGGATTCTTCTCCCTCTTCCAGCTCCTACATAAATGTCCAGATTTATAATTTCAGGGTTCCCGCAGTACAAACCCCTGTAGGTAGAGCTGACATCTCCCTTCATCACGCTGTCGTGAAGGGACTGAGGAAAGCGCGATTATTGCTGTGGGTGATAACACGTCCGATCCAGAAACCTCGTTTTTGCTTCCAGGACACAATAAATAAATGTAGATATTAAGAACTTATCATAATGTATTTTCTCCAAGCCAAGACTACTTGGTTATGGATTAGCTATTATTTCCCCATTAACTTCTCCCCTTTTCCATTCTGTTTCTTTAATAAAATAGCAAATATTTGTTAAAGACTCACTAGCCAGATAAAGTACTAAGATGTTTATTTAAACTTTTATTTTTTAAATCTTATTTAAAACTCACAAAAACTCTGAAGAAAGTGCTTTTTTTAAAAAACCATTGAATAGCTGAAAAACTGACCGACAAACTTTATCAACACAAGTGGTGAACAGCAGAGCTAAAATAGCCAGTAAATTGCTAAATTATAACATATTTATTTTTTGTCAGAACCTATTATTTCTACTGCTGTGCACTAAACTGCATTATACTATCACAGCTTGCACTCTTGACTAATCAAATTCAGAAACTGCTAATATGTCTCAAATCCTTCCATCTTGACAAAATAATTTTATCTATTAAACCACATGGTATTTTTTATATTTTATAGTATCAAAACTATATGTATGTGTCTGTGAGATAATATCCATATTTCTATTTTTTTCCTTATTCTGAAAGCTTCTTGTACCATAAGTATCAAAGGCTAGCAGTTAAGCTTCTTTAAAGAAAGGAATGCAAGTATTAGTGATAAATTCTTGGTCCATGATAACTTGGATCTAAATATTTAAAAATATGTTATATATGTTGCCAAGTGAAGAAAGCCTTCAGCCTCTTTAGCCTTGGTTATTCACGGACCAGCAGCATCAGCATCACCTGAAATCTTGTAACAAGTGAAAAATTGTGGGCCCCACCCCAGACTACCGAGTCAGTCTCTGTGTCTTTATAAGATTCTCCAATGCATACTAAAATTTAGGAAACAATTCCTTAGAATAGTTTCGAGGTG